ACTCTCAAACTCAAACTCAACTGCGTCCAAGCTAACTGAACTATCTCCCACACAGACTCCAGTGAACCAGCCCCCAGGCCTGAACCAGTACCTATGTTATTTCCATGTGCTTGTGAACAATAAACTTGTTAAACTTTTCTTCAGTCTCCGTGGTGTTCTGCATATTGGGCTTTTCAGTAACCCATCATGACACAGTTGGTCCAAAACAATGAAATAGTTAAACTCAAGGGACCTCTGGGTATAGAGAGTAGCTGACGGATCACAGTTACCCGGCTCATCACTAACTTTCAGAAGAAAAAAAAAACTATAGGTCAAGCAAACCCTCCTCTTTGCTTCGATAAGCTTTGAGGATAATATGCCACCAAAAGACATTTACTCCTCCAGCCCAGAGGGTTTTACGGGCAATTTTCACCTGAAATTACATATCTGATTAAATCAAGTATAACCTGGAAATCTAGAAAAAAAATATTTGTATGATAAGGACTCGGTGAAAATGCAACTGAACTTCTATTATGTCTGTACCTTTATTTATCACAAGCTAAAGTATGCAGAATCTATTCTTTCAAAACACTCTGACCATATGGTATGAAGCACATGCTTTCTTGGATGACACCTCCTAACTGTCGATGGAGAAATGAAATGAATTTTAACTCCTGGGAGACGTGAAATGGGATTAAAACTCTGGATGTAGAGAGGATTAAGCAAAATAAAAGATCTCTATGATGAAGGTGCAAAGATGGCATTTATAAAATTAAAAGATAAATCTAATCTACCTTGGTAACATTATTTCAAGTACCTTCAACTAAGAAGTTTTATATACTCTCAAATTAAAATCTACTTCAGAACCCCATTATCTACAATAGAACGTATCATGATAAACCACGCAAAGGTAATATATCGGTCCTTTATATTGTACTTATAGCATGTTTTAAAGAATGCTCTCTCTCTTACCCATCAGTGTGGGAAAATGATCTTCAATTAAACGTAAGTGTTGAGGAGTTGGAAAGGACATGTTTCTTGCCCAAAGTCAATCTACACAAGAGACACACTTCTAATGTTCTGCTCTTACATTCTGGACTATTTGCTTCTGTTTAAAAGTGTAGTGGAGGATTTTCATGAATTTTTGAAAATACCTGCCCTCTCTATTTAAAAAAAAAAAGCACATGCACAACCCTGTACCCGCTCCCAAGAGGGAATGCCTATTTAATGCGTGCGAGAGCAGGCACAAGCCAATTTCTCCTCGTACACGCTGTTTTAAAGTTGCTGTTGTCATAGCTCATATAAACTTGCTGTGTCTGAACGTCCGCCCTAACCCCCAAATCCCTCAGTCACTATATAAAGCAGGGACTATATAGTGGACCGTTCGGACAGATGATCACTGCTTTTTGCTCCCAGTTGGTCGCATAACTCCACCCTCCACTGCACGGTACCTGCCGAGTGTCATTTCCTTTCCATATCAACTGCTCCATATCAACCAATTAGTCCTCCCATTGTTTCTGTTTCCCATATATACACCTCCTTTTCAGTTACTCATTGCTGGATTCTGGTCATTTCTTTGGATTATTCCTCCCTAGAGTCTCCTAGTTTTTGTTAGGTTCATGAGTTTCTGTTGTTCAGTTCTGGACTATGAATTCTATATCTTTACTTCATTATATTGGGCAAGAAATAGTCTTAGCCTCTTCAGCTCCGCATTTGGGTCCACAACAAAATCCATCAACCTTGACATTTACAGTATAAATGGTTGCTGAGGACTTAGATCACACCTGTTAAACTACACCACTTTAATCCCAATATACCTGAACCCTGTTGCAAATGCATGGAAGAAAGTGGTCTACTGTTGCATTGTATGTGGAGTTGTTGAAAACTAAAGATATTCTGGAATGAGGTACTTGATTTAATTTCAAAACTGATAGGAAGGTTGGTCCCAAAATATGTTTAGTGCACATATACCCAGAAGATTTCCCACTGACTGTAAATGAGCATAAATTAATTACATTTTGTCTATTGCAAACTGAGCATGCAATTCGCTTAAACTGTAAGGAGACTCAGGGACCCACCACTCGTCAATGGAATCAAAGTTGGCATTTTATGTGACACTGGAAAAATGGACTTAGATGGTAAAAGGAAAGGTTGATGACTTTTACAGTGTGTGGTCTTCTCTCCTTAGCTTTTGTGAATACAAACACTTGGATCTAGATAGGGATAGATGCCACCACCTTTTATGACCTTTGAATGGATCATTGCTAGTTCCATGGCTAGAATATTAACATTGTGCATTAGAGATAAAAAGATGACCGAAGTATAGATTTGTGATACAATAGATTTGCATCTGTGTTCATTGTCTTTTATTGAAAGCTTTGTATTTATTCACATAACTTTAACATTACTTTCCTGCAGATATATCTATTTATGATGGGGGACAAAAGGGATGTGTTTTTATGTTTGTTTTCTTTTGAGTATTATGCTGTTATGTTCATTAAATTGAAAAAAAAAAAAACAACAACAACAAGTTAAACTCATTAACTTTATGCCTTTGAAGTTTTTACCATTTTATTTAACAATAATAATTCTTAAATCCTGAAGTTAACTTCTGGGCCCTACACAGTGAAGGTCCTTTCTAAATTGCTATCCAGTGTGGATGAAGCTTCCTTTCTTGTATTTATGTGTTTTTTGGAATTAGGACTCATTTAAAAAACAGAAGAGGACATTTAAGTTAAAAATAGTTTTTCCGTATCGCTAAGTTATCTAAATATCAGATTGGAATGCAAAGTGTGCAGACATAATATTTGGAATTCAACCACTGAATTCCATTTTCTTTTTTATATAATGTAACACAGTGCCATTACCGTCATATATATTCAGAATGTATTATGAGGGTCAAGGTTACATGGTATAAGGACGCAGCAGGGGAAAATTTAATATTTACCAGAAGGATTTGCATGCTATGAACTTGAATTAAAATATCTCAACAATGAATATATCCAAGCAATCCATTGATCCTCGTGACTAAACATGAATACTGTGAGGATGACTGTGATTGGATATACTGTGCAGCTCTACTGAAAATATTCAAAAAGTGGGCTCAGTGTTTCCGATGCCAAAGGAGACATAAAAGGAAAAGAAAAGTTATTTGTGTCATTTCAGTATGCCCAATTAATTTGCTTGACTTTTTATGTATTTATTCAAAGTCATCAGCATTTGGTTGCATTAATGTTACATTACAGGTTTAATAACTTTTAAAGCCTTTGTCTATTATCTGTTGTTTAAATAATCTCTTTAAATTTCTTGAGTCAAACGTTTCAGCATCTGACCGCAGTGGAGACCTGTTTTGATCGATCACATATTTAAATATAAATGTTAGCTTTTAGAAATCAGTATCTTGAACCAAAATTGAAATTACAGGACACTTTTAAATTAAGGCTTTTGGTTGGAAATGCTACAGGTTTGTCAATCTGTGGTCAAAAGTTGACCTTGATGCTTTGTTGTTGTTGTTTTGAAAGGTTTTCCTTTATCCTAAACATTTTACTAGCAGATGAATGTGTTCCTGTGCTTTTTTGCTCCAATAATAAATGTATTAAAAATGCAAACAGTAAAATAGGGATTATTTTCTCGCAAAACATTTTAACACAAGCACAAAGCAAATCAACAACTTTCCCCTCTATCACTGATTCCTGCCTTAACCCCTGCCAACTCAGAGCAGTAATTTGGTCTGCAGTCTACAGATCAGCTGATACAGTTTTTTAAGATCAGTGCCGATACCAATTATTTTGACATAAATCTAACTGATTCCCAGTCTGTCCATTTTTTTGGTGCCAAGTCCTTATGCTAATAATAATTTCTTTTCCTTTATTGACATACTTAAAATGATGCAATAAGAAAAAAATGTTACCCATGCTTCAAATTAAACAAAAAAGAAAAAAAATTAAAAAATCAAAGAAAATATTAATAAGAGATTGAAATGGAGGGAGTGGCAATGCATGGACTTCATGTGATCTGGAGGCACAGCTGCTAGATCCGCTAATCAATCAGCGAATGCATGCACGTACTGGCTGACGCCGATACTTGATTTATGACACTCATTGTAGGGTATTATATCATGCATATGTATATGCACTGCTGTGAAGAAGAGTAGGTGTCAGCAACTTACAGGACTGTTTTACCCTCAAAATTTAACAGTTGAGGGAATTATTAACTTTTATCCAAGTTGTCCAATATCAACAAATCTTCTTTATGGAGTTAAGTTTTTTTTAAATCTCTACATATTTTTTTTTGAAAGCCCTAAAAAAATTACATTTTGAATAAAAACAAAACAAATATTTTACAGAGAAACAGGCCAAGGTTCACTGAGATAGACGCTGTAATCTTCCTCCTGTTACTGCAGTGACGTGTTTGTTTTTATAAAGGGAACAGGTCAGTGTTTCTTATTTATTAATGTCACAGTTATCAGCATTGTTTAAATCTTGAAATTTGGTGTGATGCAAACAGCTCAGTTTGTTAATGTGATTCAATTTAATCCATCTGTAATTTACAAAAATGTGAGTAGAGGCCTTAACACATACATATAGCTTTATTAAATGTGTGCCATTTAATAAGTTTAAGCTGAGAGAGAGACTACTTACTCTGTAGAGATTTTCCAATAGTCAAAGCTTAGGTTGATATGGCCATCTAACTGAAAATTGATTTTTTTGTTTATGACCCGTGTTTAATTCTCCTTATTCTTTGCTCAGATTTTTGACAGCTTTTTAGTATGTTAGCTTTTCCACATGTGATGCTTTTGTCAAAATCTCACTAAACTGTAATATTTTTGGTCACAGCTTGGAAATCGACTTCCAAAGTCATTTTAGAGCAAAATTAACAAATTGAACCTTATGTCTTTGCATAAAAATGGTTTGTCAAACACACCTAAACCTGGCCATACTAGAGAATCGTTCTTACAACTAGAGGTTGTATCGAACATTTAGATCAAAACAAAAATATTAGTATGCAGGATGGATAGACACCTGTAGAAGAAGGCCTCTGAGAGCGGTCAGGAGGCACTGGGTCCCTGTCCAACCTAGTGGGTACAGTGCTCCCTCTTCAGCCTCTAAGGGCCTGGGCCCTACTAGTCCAGGATCAGTGCCCAAACACACCACTGCTGAAGCCAGGTCAGCATCAAGCAAAGCCTGCAGCATCCTCAGGTAGCTGACTGGAGACAAAGCGGAAGGCAAAACAAGAAAGAATAAAACTATAGTTAAATAAATAATTTCATCAATTAAAAACTGAACCTCATACATTGTTTTAAGGTAAATTAAAATCAATTTCATAGAATTAAACATCTCAAATCTAGAGTGTTAAATAAAACAGTAATTGTTTATAATAAAGAAATGCTGCTTTAGAGAAAAATACTTCTATTTACTATACAGTAAATGCATTTAAGACTTGGGCTCTTATATCACAAACTAGTGAAGTTTGGGAAGGAGTTTATTTTTATTTTTTTAGAAGTGGCTTAACATGAAGTTCTGAATTCAGCTGCAGTCCACACCTTTTCAAATCTTCCCTAACTGCTTAAATGGGCTTTGCATCTCTTCGTAAGGCTTTTTTTCTACCTTGCTAGGACTTATTTTCCTTCCAACGTTCCATCTTTATCCACATTTATGAAAAGTTGAATGGGAGGATCAATGTGACTCCAGTAACATTTGGAGTTTTTGGAGTTTGATTCCAGCATCATATACCTTGTGATATTTATTAATGCAGTATTTGTTAATGATCCTCCCTGTGGCTTCTATGACTGACTGGCTGCTTCTAAACTGTCAAGTCAGCAGTCTTCTCCATGATGACAAAATATTTCTGTATCCAAAATTATTTCTAGTGATATGTTTGAAAAACTACAATAAATCAAAAACAGAAACGAACCAAATGTTTCACTCTTTGGGTAACAAATCTATTGCAGCACTTTAATGAGATGCTCTTGTAGAAGACTGATGGCTAAAGAAAAGGCAGACAGAAATGAGAGATAGAAACCATAAGTTTGTGAAAGCACAGACAGGAAAGTACATGCAAGATTGCAAGTATCTAGAACCAGAAGAGATTGGGCCATAGTGGAAAGAAGCTAAAGCAAAGGAAGCAATTTTAGGATTGATGTGTAACGGAGAGAAGAGGCAATGTGTTTTAAGTTGTCCAAGTGCTAAATGAGAGAAGAGACCAAAGGCTAAACACATGCAATGGAACGTTGCTCCCTGTCCATTCATTTCCAAAGGAACTTGTGAGACGAAGCGATAATTGCTGCCCTCCTCCAGCAAAGTGAAACTTCAACCATGCACAGGTAGAAGTGCACAAAAAAAAGCTGAAAAAGGCCCAACTTGATTTTAACGAGAACGAAAACATAATTTTAGTTGTGTTCAACTCTGCTATAGTATAATACTTTTTTCAATTCAATGAAAACCTTCTGACTTTTAATCCTTGATGCATTGTTGGTGGCAATCATGGTAATGACTGCCACCAGTCGCTCATGTGTTGAGCCCACAAGAAAAAAATAAATAAATTGAAAACTGCCTTGAAAAGAGTGGAATCTAAAACTGGCCAACCATCTGAAACATTTAAGTCCTGAACGGCAAGATCTGAGTGTCCTAATGGGAAGGAGCCCTAATTAGTGAGAGCAAAAAAGAAGAAAACCAAGACAGTGATTCAGAAAAGCAAGGCTTTGAAAGCATTAGGGATCTAAAAACTGAGATAGTGAGACAGAGAGGAGGCTGGATGAGCAGGGAGGAAGGGAAAGAGAGAGATCTGCACGCAAAGGGAGGGAGCCAATACATTACAGTGACCCTGACAGGCTACTTATTCAGCTGACAGGCAGAGACACAGCAGCAGCAGGGATGATCTGTCAACGAGCGCTGCAGTGGGATGTGGGACATTTAATATGATGAGTGAGTTTGAAATGCAGACATGGGGTTAGGTGTATCTACTAAAGATGAAGTTTTGACAGGAAGTTTGCAGAACTTTATGTAAACTAAAGATAAGATTAGCCTTCTCTGATTCACTCAGTGTGTCAAGCATGCTATCATCATGAATGTCATATGCAAAACAGGACACACCAGTCAGTGTGTCCTGTTTTGGACAGTGAACAGCAGCACACATTCATTGACAGACAAGATTGAAAATAAATGATTAAAAGGAAAAAAACAACAGGTTACTCAGAGATGAATCCATTATCCCACTTATCTCCAAATGAACTGATTGTGAGTCTCCTCTCTGTGAAGAAAAGGTCTTAAAACGTTTAGAAGAAAATACAATTGAGCTGTCATTACCCAGCAAGAGGTTGTCTGTGTTTCTTTTCTGGCAAAGCAATCGCTGCACAGCTGTGTCCAGACTCCAAATAATGCTCTTATGAACCTAACAGAAGAAATGAAAGGAGAATGAGAGAGAAAAGAAGAAAAACAGAAGGGCAATCAGAGAGCTGGCAGGATTAAGGTTAAAACTGTTGCATTCAAGATTGTTCTACCCCTGCATTGTAAGCAACATAAAGCAAAGCAGATTTATACTGTAATCCATATCAAATAGAAGTAATTGTCCTGTAATGTGCAGTTAAACCCGACTCTTTACTCAGTTCTGTTGTGTGTTTTGCCCTTGACTGCTCCCTCATTGTGTGAACTTCCATCTTGGGAGTTTTGATAAGAGCCAAGCTGAGCTGTGGTTTGTACCTGAGTGGAGTGAATGCGCTGCAAGGTAATGAGGGAGGAGAGGAGTAGATGGCTGCAGCACAGCAGAGCCAAAGGAGGACAGGCAGATGGAGGGGGGGATGAAGCAGAGGAGGAGATGACTGTCTGCAGCTGGTCCATCAGCCCACTGTTGGAGAGCAGCATGGAGACAGCTAGGAAGAAGAAAACCCAATGACCTTAAAACAATCGTGGGATTAGTCAAGATCCTCTGTTTGAGGCCTTTTTTTAACCTCTGGAAAAATACATAGAAAGTTATTCCTTAATTTGTCCCAAATTAGAGCAATAGGGATTTTGTCCACCAGTCTGCATTAATAGCAGTGTTTAGTATAATCATTGGTTTCATTTACTGCTTGTCAAGTTCTGTGGTGCCAATTTCACACGTCCAGACAAACTGGGGCTGCAAGCGACACAGCAGTGACAGAAAAATCTAATCTATGAGCATAATCTGAGTTCTGATACATTCGTCATGTGAAATGTATACAGTATACTTTTCCAGGCCTACATTTAGTTCCTATTCATTTTAAGTAAATAAGTTTCTGTGGATTTTTTGCAGATAAAGTTAATCTGGGAAGTATTGTCAGTGTTGCATTTTCTCCAAACTTAGCTATGTCAAAGCCTTATTTAATCCAAAATGATTTCTTTAATTCAAAAGTCAAGAATCTTTATTCCCATTATGAAACAAAAAAGAAATTTAGGAGATCCAGCTCAGAAGGCATAAGGAGAAAAAAAAAAAAAAACTGCCAGAAATGAAATACACCTATAGAAAAAAAAGCATCCTAAACCAGGTGGAGAATAGAATTTGACTTGTGTGCATATGTAGCACTAGCAACGTTAGGAGTCTTCCCTGGTTCCTTTAACATTTTTTCCAGGTTTCTTAGATGGCGGATAAAAATGTATGCAAACCCCAACACTTATTTACCGCTGGCAGGTGAGTCCCTAATAAATGCAATAACCCATTTTGGTGGAATAGAGAAGGGAGTAGTGCTAGCAAGAAAAGATAATATATTATCCTTCCAGGAATGACATCAAGGAGGAGAGTGCCCTATGGGCTTTTCTGGTTTTAACAATGAGAACGTGAAACCCCAAAACAAGCCATTCTCAAACTCTGAACTTTGTGACAGGTTTTAATTGAAGTCCAATGCCAACACAGACTTTTGAAGATGAAAATTTCCAGGGGATGACTCCTCTAAAAATATAAACACCAGGAGAAGAAAATCACAAACGTATTAAAATATTAAACACCTTTAAAGAAAAAAAAGGAAGAGAAACTCAGGAAAATTATAAATGCTTGTAAAAAAAATCCATAACATCTTTGAAAGAAAAAATCTTATGGGAGATCTTAGCATTCATCAAAATGCAGCTTGAGCTGTAACAGACTATGAAATAGACTGCTGGTCTATTTAATTACCAGCAGGGGTTTAAATGTGTGGATGTGTTCTTGTGCTCGTTTGAGGGTTTGTGCTTGTACTTCTTTATGTTACTTGCCTGGGACTATTTATGAGCAACCTTCTGAGAACCAACAGGCCTTGTGTAACTCAAAGCAGGTCCTAATGTGGTGGACCCCCATTTTTAATTGTAGAGTCAGTTTATGGGTATAGTGTGAATTAACTTTAGGCTAAGTTTAGGATTAGGAATGCACTGGTAATGGTTAAAGATAGAGTAAATGTCAGGGTTAGGCATACATGCACTAACTAAAATGAATGAAAGTCAATATAAGGTCTTACTATGGATAAGCAAGGGAAGATATGGATATAGCAGAATTCCGCACAAGGCCAATTCAAAGGCCTTTACATGAAAATAGAAAAATAAAGCAGAATAAAAGCACACAAAGATAAAAACATTATAAAAACAGGTGGTGAACTAAATAGTCAATAATCCCTCAGTTAGGGCACTGTCACACCTTGCCGATTTAGGCAATATATGCCCGACGTCCCAGAATCTTTTAAAATGCTGGCATACGCTGAACTTTCTATGTATTTTTTTTTTATTTTGGGCATATACATAGAGTATTCATAATGCCCATGAAATGATGCACAAGCCATTGTCCTGAGGGGAGCAGCGAAGCGCATGGAGGCGCCCGGCCTGCATAAAAAGATTAATTTGATCTCGCTATTAACCTAACTGCGGTTTACCACCCGCCAAAAAAATAAAGAATAAATAAAATGAAAAAAAGAAAGAGGGTTTGCATTCCCAGCGGATTCAGCGTCATGTCTGCTAGGAAGTTTGTTGGTCGTGAACGCAGGGAGGATCCATCATACTCATCTTCTCGCTCACACTATGATGGGGATGCAGTCTGGAGGAGTACTGACAGTTTTCTCCTGTGAACCCCCTTTTATACCAAAACGCTGCCAATACGCCATTATACAATAGCTGTAAGTTTGAAACACGTATAGCGGTCGTCTGGCCAAATACGTTGATATGCGTTGGAGATAATTTCTTGATAAGTTACGCACACGTTATGCTCACGCAACTCATAGGTTATGGATAAGCTAGACACCATGACTTATGAGTAACTTACACTTGTCAACGATGAGATAACTTAGCTGTAACTTATGGCCCATGTATGAGCACACGCTTGGACACGTCAACATACTTGTCGTATGTCGACGTTTGCAGGCGTGTTTCAGCGTACTTCAGCATGCTCATAACTTATAAAAAACTGACGCATACCTTATCTAAGGTATGCCAGCGTTTTGGCCATATTTTAAGTATGTCAGGCATATGCTGTCTAAATCGTTAAGTTGTGAAAGGGCCATGACAAAGTCAATTCTAAACAAATGGGTTCTTAACTTTGACTAAGAACTCAGGCTTTTAGCACTTTTACAGTCCTCTGGGAGTTTGTTCCAGATCACTGGAGCATAGGAACTAAATGTTGCTCCTCCATGTTTGGTTCTAGTTCTGAGTGTACAGAGTAGGCTGGAACTAGAAGACCTGAATGGTCTGGGACAATACATCTGTTATGTATTAAGGTGCCGATCCATTAAGTAATTTATAGACAGAAGGATTTTAAAGTCTTATCTCTGAGCTACATGGCGCCAATGGAAGGACTTCAGAACTGGGCTGATGTGTCATTATTTTGAGATATTGGCTCCGGCTGTTTTTTTGCCCCAATCTAAGGTTTAGAACAGGTTTTCATCCCGGATGAAAGGATGATGCTGCCAGCACCATGCTTCCCTGTAGGGATGTGTTGGCCTTGAGAAAGGGTGGTGCGTAACTCATCTAAACACAACACCTAGATTCCAAATTACAGGAGCTGAATCTTTGTCTCATAAGTTCAGGTAATTTTGTTTTTCATGGTGTCTTTAGGTCTACTACAGGACACTACTGCCATGTATCTATCTTTACTTTCCCAAATTTCTGTCCGGAGACAATCCTGTCTCGGTCTACAGACAATTCTTTTGACTTCATGCCTGGTGTTTGCGCTCTGACATGCTCTGTCAACTGTGAGGCCCTTATAGAGACAGGTGTATATAATTGTGGTCTGCAGAAACCTGTTCTGCAAAGAAGAGAGAGGATGGATTGATGGACACACCAGTCTGGCAAATTGGTGGCTGGAAGGAAAGGACAGATAGTTGATGAGACATATACTGAATACAGATTATTGCACATCTTACTAGTTCAATTTCATCACAGTGTCTTTCTTAAATAATATTTTAATAAAGACATTTTTTGTCGACATAAACAGTTGCTTGGTGTTTGTTCGGTATTTTCTAAACTTAGTTCTACTTTCAAAGAGGTTTGCTGTACTTCCCATGATTCTTTGTTTCTCTACCATCATTTTTTTGTCTCCCCATTGTCACAAATCAATCCTCCACCATTGGATGTGGACAGATAGATGGATGGATCCAACATTTAGACACAAATGAAAAAATAGTTTACCTAATAATTCTTTTGATACTGAGCCACACTCCTCACCTGGGCCTTTTCTTGAATCTAATTCAGCTGGTAAAGGAACCATCAGTTACATTTGTTAACTTTGACACTGAACCATGTAAAGGCTACAAAAATGCTGCAGCTTACAGATCTGTGATTATCTATTATGTTATGTCATTCCTTTAGCACAGGAATCCCTCTATGTGAAACAAGATTGTTTTCTTGGAGCAAAAAATGTCCAAACTCATAAAGCCAGGTGATTTAACATCTAATTCTACACTGTGCAGAGATTCAGCCTTGGAGCCAAAACAACATTGTTGCGTGGAGTAAATGTCTCCAAGCTTAACCCTTCTGACAAAATCCATCAGAATCAAATAGAGAGGATCTTGGTGTGTCTGCAAAAAATGCTCTGAAGCAACTAATTCTGGATAAGAAATCTCTTATTCATTATACTAGCCTGAAAGGAATGGGCTTAACATATACTGGAGCTAAATATACATTTGGGCAACAATACTCAATACTAAAAAGGATTTATTCATATAAAATGGCAAAATCAAACAGAAATCAATAGACTAATTTATAAAATGAAATAAAATTTCTCTTTAACAAATATGAGACAGCATTCACGGTTGAATACTGGACAATGGAACAAGGGGATAAAGTCAGATGAAGCGATAAAATCTTGTAGAAGTTTAAGGCTGTGAGGGATTTTTTATGTAATAAGCAAAGCACAGTCAGCTCTGAAAACAATTAACATTCACATTTGGGTCAATTAGCAGAATGTTTAACCACTTATATAAAATGTGCAAAAAGTAACCCAAAACATAATAAATAAACATCTGAAATTAAATAAAAGTATATATAATTGTGACTTTGCCATCTGATGTGAGAGAGAGACTTCATCATAACCCTTAGTATATATATTTTTCCCACAATAACAAAATAATAAAACTAAAAAGTTCAACATGCTTTAATCTTAAAGAAAAGTCAAAATATTGCAAAATTAATAAAACATATCAGAAAACTATAAGACTCAAAAATATGTATAAAAATCTGCACACTGTAACAGAAGTTACCGTTAATTGATTCACTTTATTGATCTCGCAGTGGAGAAATTTACTCGCTACATCAGCTAAAAAAGTCAAAGAAGAATCTGGCAAAGGAAAAAAAGGTTCATGGGATATGTACATTATATACAGTATGTCCACAAATAACAGCTTCTTCTTCTTTTGTGAGTTGAATGAGGTGTGAAATATGATAATTGTAACATCAAAATAATGTTACCAAGCAGAATATAAAAAAAATAGATGAATGAAATTCTGTAAGTTTCAAGACTAGCTATGTTTACATGCAAAATTTCACATATCCGATCTAAACCTTGATTGATCGGAAATTCAAAATCTCTGTTTACATTGACACTAAATAAAATAATCTGATTTTGCTTTGTTATACATGTACTAAGTATTTTATCAGATTAAATCATTTAAGCATGCGTGTCTAATTGCCTAATTTTCCAGAAAAAAAGCCCAGTTGACACTGAACATATGCACAGTGGAGATTGTTTAACCTTCTGATCTGATCAGGCCTTTAATCCGAATATTTGTGTCTCTTTAAACTACTGTGGCCGGAACATATTTCCAAAGAGCCCAATTGAGCATTTTGTGAGCAGGAGAATGGTCTGGTGGATATCTTAATGTCAGCTGGGCAGCAGTGCACAGCAACAGCTGTAAGACAGAGGGTGGTTAGTCTAAAATAAAACAGGTTTACTTCAGCTCTCTATCTGGGTCAAATCCAGGGAACAGCAGGAACACATTGTTCTGCAGCTTTGAAACCAGAACATGTTCAAATTTTACCTTGATACCGGTAACAGGTCCACGCTTAGTTTCTAAATTCCCCTAAGCACATCAAAAATGATGCCAGAGAAAATGCAAGCTGTAATCAAAGCAACAGATGGCCCAGCAGTAAATTAGCATGTGGATAACTTTGTTTTATCCAGGCAGCAGTTACTACCACAGATTTTTTACCTCCCAGAAAAGAATGTGGTTGTATTCTAGAGCACCATAGGTTCAAACACAAGCTGGCCTCGGGCTGGAATAACTGAAGTCACCACACATAAAGCAGAAGCAAAGAAGGAATACAGATAGTCTGCAGGAGCAGACGCACTTAAATATTACTAAAGGTATAATAAGATTTAGGCTCCCAACTGGATTCCTGCTCTCTCGCTACCAGCAGCACCTTATTAACCACGAGCCAGCTCATTACTGACCTCTGCTGAGTTTTCTCCATGGGGGCATAAGCAGGGAAACCATTTAGCTTGTATAACTAATCACACACTTTAATAAGAGGCAGGCTTTCTGTAGGGAAGTTATATTTATCTATTTGGAATCAGAACTAGTGTGGATTAAAATATTTTTCTATGTAATAAACTTTTTTGTTTTCACCTATCTGTGAAAGTCTGAGCTGTTCCAAAAATGTAACAAGAAAAGTTTGTGATTTAAATGGAAACAGATATTTAGAGATAGGGCATTAATTTTGCATGACTTTTAGAAAAATCACTTAGAAAAATGTTCCGAAATAATCCCCAAAAGTTAGCTTTTTTTGACTAATTTTAGGTTTATTTATTTTTACTAAACCATTTTCCCTCAAGGGTTTGGATTTAGAATATTTATCATAAAAAACAACGTTGATTTTCTTACTCATAAATAACACATGAAGTGCATTAAATTATGATTTGTAAATGTTATTCTGCTCCTGGTAGATAAGCCTCATTTGAAGTTATTTATTCCAATTTAAATGAAATATTTTTTCCTCTTCCTGTGAGATGCCTGAACTGAATCTACATGGCACTGCATGAGCGATCCAATTTGTTTTTCCTCTTCAAGGCTAAATCAAGTATTCAACAGGTTACAACACAAGTCTGAGAGAGATAGGCATGTTCTTGGTGCAATATCAAAAACATCCCTGTGGATTAACAGACAAATTGAGCTAAATGAAAAGAAAAAAGAATATCTAAGTCTGGAGGCAGGGACAAATGCCAAACAAGCTTATAACATTTAGTCTCTGCTATTATTGGTGTCTAATGAAGTCATCCAACAAGAGGAACATATTCTTGGCATGAACAGAGTGAAATCATTGACAGGATTGAATCATCATTGACAACGGATGTCTGCATGTTTGCAAATCAGTATCACCTTTAAACAATCCTCTGCAGTATTAATATTAAAAACACTGATCCAAAAACAGCTCAAGCATTAGAATAAAAAAAGCTATGTATTTGTTTTCAATTATTTCAGAAACTAAAACTAGGGGTTTAAAATGATGTGTCACAGTGTCAAATGTTCCCAGGCTTTATTTCTTGTCATTTTAATTATTATGGCTTCAAGATAATGAAAAATATTGTAACTAAGTTGTAGCATATTTCCTGAGAGTTGAGAGGAAGGTAAAAATGCAGCTGCTACAGTGATATGACCACAGCCCAGTGATGATTGTCAAGCCAAATCCATTAAGAAATTGTAATCGTCTTAATTTCTGGACCTTTTTTCAGTTAAGTTTTTACTTTTTGGGTTCTCAAATATGCTTTGTTTTGTTCTGTGTCATCTTGATTTACATCATTTTTTGTATTCTTAGTATTGCTCTCCCTGGTTATCCTACATAATTGGTATTGTTTGTTCCCTGGTCTAGTTCATCTTTAAAGTCGTAAAGACATCATATTTAAATGTCAAATCATTCTGGCTTAAACATGTATATAAATGTACTCTTTATCAGAATTTAGAAATTTTCTACTTAAAAAAAATCCTGTCTTAAAATCATTTTTTTTTCCGTTATCTTATGCAGGCCAGTAAGTTATACACTATATTGCCAAAAGTATTTGCTCACCTGCCTTGACTCACATATGAGCTTAAGTGACATCCCGTTCCTAATCCATAGGGTTCAATATGACGTCGGTCCACCCTTTGCAGCTAGAACAGCTTCAACTCTTCTGGGAAGGCTGTCCACAAGGTTTAGGAGTGTGTTTATGGGAATTTTTGACCATTCTTCCAGAAGCGCATTTGTGAGGTCGCACACTGATGTTGGACGAGAAGGCCTGGCTCTCAGTCTCCGCTCTAATTCATCCCAAAGGTGTTCTATCGGGTTGAGGTCAGGACTCTGTGCAGGCCAGTCAAGTTCATCCACACCAGACTCTGTCATCCATGTCTTTATGGACCTTGCTTTGTGCACTGGTGCACAGTCATGTTGGAAGAGGAAGGGGCCAGCTCCAAACTGTTCCCACAAAGTTGGGAGCATGGAATTGTCCAAAATGTCTTGGTATGCTGAAGCATTCAGAGTTCCTTTCACTGGAACTAAGGGGCCAAGCCCAGCTCCTGAAAAACAACCCCACACCATAATCCCCCCTCCACCAAACTTTACACTTGGCACAATGCAGTCAGACAAGTACCGTTCTCCTGGCAACCGCCAAACCCAGACCCGTCCATCAGATTGCCAGATGGAGAAGCGCGATTCGTCACTCCAGAGAACGCGTCTCCACTGCTCTAGAGTCCAGTGGCGGCGTGCTTTACACCACCGCATCCGACGCTTTGCATTGCACTTGGTGATGTATGGCTTGGATGCAGCTGCTCGACCATGGAAACCCATTCCATGAAGCTCTCTGCGCACTGTTCTTGAGCTACATGAAGTTTGGAGGTCTGTAGTGATTGACTCTGCAGAAAGTTGGCGACCTCTTCGCACTATGCGCGTCAGCATCCGCTGACCCCGCTCCGTCAGTTTACGTGGCCTACCACTTCGTGGCTGAGTTGCTGTCGTTCCCAAACACTTCCATTTTCTTATAATACAGCTGACAGTTGACTGTGGAATATTTAGGAGCGAGGAAATTTCACGACTGGATTTGTTGCACAGGTGGCATCCTATCACAGTTCCACGCTGGAATTCACTGAGCTCCTGAGAGCGACCCATTCTTTCACAAATGTTTGTAAAAACAGTCTGCATGCCTAGGTGCTTGAATTTATACACCTGTGGCCATGGAAGTGATTGGAACACCTGATTCCAATAATTTGGATGGGTGAGCAAATACTTTTGGCAATATAGTGTATGTCAGCTTGAACACCTCATATCATATATCAAAGGTCATCTGTCAAACAAATTTTTTCAGTCATAGCATCTTGATTCATATGTCAGAACTAATATATGCAACGGTTGAAATAAGAATCATTTACTTTCCCACTGAGTTCCGTTAATATACATTGTTTTATACAGGTTTAGAGGTGGTGGAATGACCCAAAGATTAGCAATTTACTATTTAAAATAAGAACTTGCTTCTTTAATGTAAAAAAGCAAGTTATTTGTTGTTTAAAAGAGAAATATTTGATTTTCGTATCCATTATATATGCTTGCTATGAACCCATTTATCACAGGTCATACTGGAAATATCATAAAAGTTGTCATGTATCGCATCTTTTCCTGATATTTTGCGAGTCGTAATTTCCTTCCATAGAAGCATTTCAGATAATAATGGCGACTCCACCACAGTGCAGCACAGAAACATCTTCAGCGGGATCATCTTTTTATTCCAGTATTACTTGAAGCAGTCAGGAATGCCCTGATTGGGGAATATACCCCTCCTCCACCTTGCAATGTTTCATTTTTCTGAGCTCCCACTGAATGGGGTTCGACGTGGGAGGGGATCTGGCCTTTAGAGACATACTTTGTTTGTTAAGCTCCGCTCTCACAGATGCTGTCTGATGGTTTCCGGGCTCCAGACAGCATCAGCAAGGCTCTTGATTTGGGTGGAACTGCCTTCACAGACAGCCTGTTATATCCCCTGGCTCAGTGCAGCTATGTTTTATTTTCCTATCCACCACTTCTCTTTCTTTCCCCTTAACCTTCACGACATGCTTAGAAAATTCTGATGTCGCTGTGTCTAACAATTTGCAGCTCAACAATCCCAAAATGAAAGCCCTTTTCCGCCTGTCATCAGAGGTTAATGACGGTGTGAATCCCAAACCACCCCTACTTCCCATCTCCTTTCTTTATGTTACTTCTAACTTGCTTACAAGCCATCAGAGTGAAATGTTCTTGTTATTCTTTCCTCTTTGTTGACTTTTTGATCAAGAGTGAAATAAATAAAACAGAGAGAAATAAAAGGTGTCTAACCTCTGTCACTGCTGTGTGCTGGGGACAGGCTCAGGCAACACTGCAGGAAGTTCAGGGCAGGCAGCAGGCTCTCTGTGTCAGAGGGCTTCAGCATCCCACCTATGCTGCTCACTAACACACAAACACACACACATTAACAATCGGAGCACTTATAAGGAAAATAAGGGATCATTTAATTAAACAGCTAAGTTGTGGTTCACTTTATCTTCTAAATGGATTTTATATGCATCATAATTAAACAATAACCAAATGCATGCGCATGCTAAACAAAAGCAGCAAAACGAAGCATGTGTGAAATGTTGCATGTGGGGAAAAGAGCGGACACTGCTGTTCAGTGTCACTTTGACAAGATAGAAACCCCTGAACATGTTCAGGTTTTGTCAGATAACTATAAATCTTTTATGATTTATTAAGGTTTCATGTGACAGGCCAAAATAAAGGAACACATTACTCTGATTGTCCATTTAATTGCAGATAAAAATCTAAAATATGATGTGTATTTGTGTTCATATTCAGTTTTTTTTTTTAGATTTACAATCTAAAAAAGTTAGCAAACTTTGAAATGTTTTTCTTTTCTTTTTTTATAGGACAAAATGTTTGTTCAGGTAAAAAGTGGTAAAAATACTCCCAGTAATTGTTTCATATAACTTCATGATCTTAATAAGGTTAAAAATAAGATACCGATGGAATTTCAGCTCAAATTTAGAAAATAGATATAATCTAAGTCTCTTCCTGTATCACAAAGCAGTGGAGAAAATAACATTTGGTTTATCATACTTCTTAGTTTTTACCTTTAATTGTTTCATTCTGGGTTTTTTGTATTAGTATTGCTTATTTTTAGTATATTCCGGTATTTCCTCTCTCTCATGAGATATAGAAATTATTCTTTCTGTTCAATCCAAAAAAGAATTATTTAAATTATAAAACTTGATGCAAACCAACCACTATGCTATCAGCTGCAGCCTGTTTAGTTCCTGGCTATTTTAATTCACAAACCTCTTTGTGGATTAATTAAAGTCAGCAGTTTAGGGTTCTATATGTTTGGACTAATTTCTGCTCCAAACATGATCTTCAGACGAGGACGGCATTGGTTAAAATGTACTGGTTTTATCAGGGGCCACATTAGGCGCTGATGTCTATAGTAATGAGCAGAGATGTAATGGAGGGGAGCCAGCAGGTCAGTCTGGTGTTTAATAGATGATGGAGGCGTCTGATGATGGACATTTTATTGGATTAGTTTGTACCTGCAGGAGAACAGTGTTGCAGGAATCAACGCCACACCAGTAGGCACTTTTTAATGAAGGAACTGAGACTGAAATAACAACATAATGGTGAGATTGGTGCGCCGCTAATATGTTAACAGATGTTAGCTTATCACGCCATATGTTATTTATTTGTTTACTTTATTTCTAGTGCAGCTAAAGGAAATCATTCCAAACAGCATCTCATATTTCTCTTGTTGGCTTAAGGCTGTTGCAAACGTCACTTCTGGATTTACTTGCCATGTAAGCAAAGTTTGATCCTTTCTGTGGTCACTGACTGATTCGATGCCATATATCAGATGAGCCTCTACTGTGAGAAGAAGGGCTGAGAGTAAACACAATGCTGCTATGTACGGAATTTTAGCCTTATATTCTTGGTATTGATTATGTTGAACACTTTATCATCTTGACAACCTTTACTCAAATTAATAAATATCTTCTAGGCCCACCTTTGAGTTTTTCCTTTAATAATAATAGAGATAAAGTAGAATGTGTTTTTGAGCATCCTTTTCAAGTTTTTCCATGGCTCTTAATAAGGTTTAGGGACAAGGCTTCGACTGTAAAACTATATATATATATATATATATATATATATATATATATATATATATATATATATATATATATATGGTAGAAACCTGACCAGTATCCTCTGTTTCTATCATCCAATATGATTTTCTGTAATTAAAGTAAAATCTGATTCAGAACTGCATTGAATTCTGGGGGATGTAAGTAGAGGAAAATATTTAGCTCTTTAACTAGTCAAGGCAGAGCTAAGGTTGGCGGTTTTCTAAAGGTTTAAGGTTATGTTTATTCTGGTTTTTGGTTACAGTTTAAATTCCAGCTTTTTCCCTTGGTCTTTCCCTTAAAAATGTCAAGTGAAAAACAAATATATTATTATCAAAGTCGACTGATATAAAGGTTTGTATCCTAATACATTTTTTAGCCATATCGCGCAGTCCTACTCCATATTTATCTTAATCCCATATTTCTTTATATTACCAAAGAAACATTCCCAGAGCATAATACAACCCCCACCCTACTTCAAAATTAAGAGCTTAAAATAATTTTTCTGCAAGACAGCAAACCAAAAATTTCCCCCCAGGTCATCTGTGTCCCTTCTTAGAGTATATTCTAAACTGGTAGTTCTAATGGTTTCCTTTATGCAGATCCTGAATAGAGGTGAGGTATGTGAGGAGTTCTGCTAAAAGAGTCTACTATAAACAGATATGATTAATCCGCTCCTTGTTCATCCTGTCAGTGTGCAAGGGCAGTCATGTCCTGGCACTGTAACAGTTCTTCTACAAACTTTCTTTTTTCATTCAGGTGGAAACATTCCAGCTTTCCACTAGTAAATATATTTTTCCTTTATTTCACAATTCCTGAGACGCTTTGTTGGCCTTGAAAGTGAAATGCAAATAAATCAATCACAAAACTCATAACCATAAGGAGGTACAATGTATGCTGTAAAAGTTAATACACTAAGTACTCATGCCAGTACATTAGCAACACAATGTTTTCATAAATTAAAGAAATAAACGCGTTGAGTGTTTCTTTTGGCATATTTCTGAGAAAAAGGGTCTGTAACGTAAATGTTTTGCTGTGTTTTTTGATGCCTTACATCTGTTCGGAGTATTCAGGCTACATAAATGTGATAAGAGGAGTTTTTTTAACGGTACATTTACATCTCACCATGGTAGAGCAGCTTGAATTGCACTCCTTCCATATTACTGTAGATGGAGGGTGAAGGCGGGTCACTGGCCTGCGTCAGACAAAGCAGCTTCAGAACCACGGGAAGCGGGCTGGCTGTGTGACAGAGATGGGGGGAAAAAACGAAACCACAAAGCATAAAAACTAATGGGAAAGCTGCGCATCATGTGAGAAAGACGAGAGAGCGGTGCAGCTCAAAGACTTCCAGCTCTCATCTAGAATTAGCATAAAGTCATTACTCACTCCCAGAAAGGATATTTCCCAGAGCATCCGTCAAACTCAAAAAAAAAAAAAAACAACAACAAGAAAAAAAAAACTGAATATAGTTTAAACTAACACATTTAAGTTTGTAGGAAATTCATAAACAAGGCAGGGATGCTTGCATTCACTTCTGGATCTAATCGTATTTTGGTTTGCAGCCAACACAGCTCACATGAATTAAGTAAATGTAAGAAGAAGCAGCAGTAAATGAACTCCATTTTCATTTTAGCAGACTTTTTAGGAACTATACTCTGCATCCTAATCCAAGGAAGAAGAAGAAAGCAAGCATGAGAACACATGAGTTAAAAGGAGATGACAGAAAAAGACTAGAAGTGCACTAAAATATCTCTCCTGGAGAAGCGGTCCCATGGGAGCGAATATGGAGCACATATTAATGCAAATTGCATTGAACTGTACTTGAACATGCACAAAGAGAGCAACTTTTAATTCCCCCAAGACGTTAAATGAGCAGAAAGCAGTCAGAGGCTAACTAACCAAACCCCAGCTGGCGTGCAGGTGTTTCGCCCTTAAGCTTGTCTCATTAACCTGGTCAAGTGTAGTTATGATAACAGCATCCAAAAAATATCACTGCAAAACCTGAACCCATAAAATGGAAACTTTATACTTTAATACAAATTGAGCTCCATAAATAAGAAATAATTGCTTTTTTTGGCTTGCGCATTCATTAGCATTTTGTAAACATCTCCAAAGGGATCATTCTGGATATAATTTCTCATTTATACCTCATTAGGATTCATACCCTATCTTGTTATTAGGTGCTCGCAGCACAAACATAAGTAGAATCCTGCTCCAGTGATGCAAGTTGCAAAGATTCTGTACTTTGCTGAAAATGTCAAGGAGGTGTGCATTAATTATAATTACCTTTTCTACAGCACTAGTTTGCTTCCATCAAATTCCTTTTCAGTGTCTGTGAATCAATAACTTAGAAAATACAAGGTTTCTGGTGAAGATGGGTTAAAAAAATGATGGAGCCGACTCATTTGGAACAGATTTGATACAGGTTACACGTCTCGCATGTCTTCTGCATAACGATCAGGTTATACTTTTTTAAAAAGTGAAACCTAAAGGAAATAGGAATTTCGTTTCTCTAACATACAGCCACACAAATGAAGCTCTTGGCCGGAGGCACCTTCAGGCAGAGCAATCCTAAACGTGAAGAAACTAAATCAATATGGCAGCTCTATCTAGGTAAACAAGTTTCTTACATCACTTTGCTGTCAGAGAAGAATCCATTTATTATAACTGGAATGAATAGTCTTCTGCCACGCATTAGTCACCGAAAAGTTGAAGATAACACGTTTAACAATTTTGCTTATTAACCTTTCCAGAAGGGACTTTAGTTATTTTTTTCCTTTTAACAGAAAAGGCTTAGAAAAAAGCCATAAAAGTTAAAAATCAGAACCTAAACATTAATATTATACAAACTGGATTTTTGGAAGTTGATTCAGCCTCACTAAAGCATTAAGAACACGTAATGTCAGTGATGTCCAGCCTCTTTTTTTAAAGCTTTAGTTTCGGGCTGTATGGAGGAACGAGGTGAACATTCACATGATCAGAGTGACCCAGAGCTGTTGTTTGTTAGCAAGCTTGAGTGTTTTACGACTGGAGGTACGATAATTGGCATGTGAGTACTGTGTACGGAAGTAACAAGGCTAAGGGGATTCTGCATTTTCTAAACAGAGGTGTGAAAAAAGAAGAAACATATATAAAGTATGTAAAAGATCAAAGTAATGTTTATTCCCAGAGGGAAAAGAGACCAGTTGCCATCAGAATACAGTAGAAATGTTGGGTGGTTAATGAAGAGGGAGCTACAGCTTTATAAGACGGTGTACAAAGATTTTTGTGTCTAAGTGGGTGTTGGTGAAAAAAGTATTTTCAGCCTCATAAAGGAATAAACAGGAAATGCAAAAATGCATTTTTTGATTTGTAGGGAATTGATTAGACAAGACAAAATGAGTTGGTGTTACATATGGCTGTAATAAACAGTAAGTAGAGGTTGCACACCTGAGAAACATAAAGAGAGGTGAATCTGAGTAGATTGTAGCTTTAATTTGCACAGATGAAACAAAAAAAAACCCCATTTGGTCCCTTTATCGGCCTACACTCAGCTATTGCTTCCAGCAATGCTTTCACAAGGCATCGGCTGATCATCTGCTGATAGCTCATCGGTCATAGAAGGGATATTGAAATTGGATGACGGGACTTTATGGGCCGTCATCTAAAATTTGTTATTTTCATGCTGATAGAAAAACTCTGCTTCTGGTTAACTTTGCATCCTACAGTATAAAATAAGTAATGACAGCTGGTATAATTTGTGCTAATATCATATTGGGCCAATATCGGTATCAGACAATCCTCAGAGCTGCAATATTGGTATCAAATCGGAAATTAAAAAATCCTATGGGGACAATCCTTTCTCAGGGTAGCCTAAATGTTTGCTTTGTCAGAACTTATTGAGCAAATGTGTTCCCATCATAACGCATTAAATCTTAAGAACAAAAACAAACAACAAAAAAACTCCAAAATAAAGCATAAGTGTTTTTTTTTTTAAACCTTTTCTAAGTTCCTAAAAGTGGAGAGGTGTGCTGTCTGTGACCTCCTGTCTGATGGCGGGAGCTGAACATGGCGGCAGCTAGCCTATGGAGAGTCCTTTAAAATCTTCTTAGCCTTGCTGAGGTAGCAGGACAATGCAGTGCTGTCAAGACAGAGAGTAATCTCTGATTTCTTTCTGCAGTGTGAATAACATGCTGCAGGGTGTTTTTGCTGTGCAGGCTCTCATACAACACAGACAAGCAACACATCAGGATGCGCTCTACTGCAGATTAACTTTAAATAACACTGTAATTAATTACATTTCATCTTATTGCTCTTCCTAGTAACAGAGAATCTATGGAAACTGCTGCCATAAACATTAAGGCTGTGAAGTTTGTGGGAAACATTCGGCCTCGAACTTCTAGCCACGACTGCAAACATTCTCTGTCAGCCTTTTAGCAAAGACACACACCTCAGTTTCCTTCCTTTTGTCTGCTCTCCTAAAATCAAACACAACAGTGTTGTAGATGTCTACCTTCGCTTTCCAATGTCATAAGGAAACTAGATATAAAATTCAAACCAGGTTCCTTTAATATTGTCTAGGTTTCTTAATAGAAGTTGTGTGAAACGTTTCCAGGAAAAGGTTTTAAAACCTCTATTTAGAAACAACAGTCATTATCTAAATAATATCTAAGGATAGATGCAGTAGAGAATTTATGCTAAAGCTTTGAATGCATCTCATGTTGTACAAGCTTTGTGAAGAGTATATTCATTAATCAATCTTTTCTAATCGGGTATTTAACAGATACGATAATGAGATGGAAGGGAAAACAAAAGTAAACATCTGAAAACACCATTTAAATGGAAAGTCTTATTGAAAACCCAATCAGCCTGAAACTGTTGCCAGGGAAAATTATCCCATAAACATAACTCAACCCAGCAGCTCTTTTAAGACTTTCTTTTCTGATTTGAAAATAATTAAACTAAGTGCTTTCCATTAAGCTTTGCAAAAACATGTCGTGCCAAACTAACCTATTAAACCTAAGAGATGACTTTATAGCTCCGCTGCTGTCTCGGCAACTCTCACTTGTGAGTTCTCTGTGTGTTGGCGTGTGTGTGTGGCTCTTTCATTTTTCTCTCCTGCAGCCGCCACTCTTCTTTTAATTAATCATGGCTGGTATAGTGCTATAAAAGAGCGGCTTAAGCTGAGGTAACATCTGATGAGTCTGAGGTTTTTCTATTTCCTCCAGACCGTATAGACATCTCTCCAGTTCTTATTCCCACATGCCCTTCACACCTTTACAAGACCCTCAAGAGTCATTTTAGAAAGATTTCAGACCTTTTGCTTTTTACTTCTGTATGATAACCAGGCGGTACTTACCTCCACCTTTAGCTTCTATTCTAATTTTGTTCTTTATTTATGTCATTTCAGTCACCTCATGTCAAATGTTGAATTGCCACTTTTTTCAGGCCCCTATTGTGAGGATTTCTCTTTTTCTCACCTCTTGTTAAAGTATGAATTCACTTTACCACAATGTTTATCTTCAAAAGTCAGACTGAACAGCTGGAAAAACAGGAGGGAAAGATGGATTGGTAGGTGGACAAATGGAAGGATGGGTAAAAGGTCGTAAAATATTTGACCAGGAACATATCTAGGAAAATCAAAGATATATATATTTTTTTTCCTTTTTCATCCCTGGATGAGAGCAGTATGGAAATATTCTAACTAAACTCATTACTCCAGGAGACTGCACAGGAACTGTGTGATTTACAGGGTTTTTAAAAGCATAAAAAAAAAGAATACAACCATATCCAACCTCCCTGCATTGCTATTACATATCGTTTATTTCCCACTGAAACTGTGTTTCTTTTTTCTGTTATGTAAAAACAATAAAAGTCAAGTGGAAAAAAGTTTAAGAACTAAATAATTTTAAAAATTAAGAACTACTGATAAACACAATTTAAAGATAAAAAAAAAAAGAATACGGTATTCTTTTCTATTTAATGTGTCTTTTAATTTACACCTGTAGCCACATCAACCACTATTCGTACTGCTTTATTGAAGAAATGCTACTTAAAGAAGTTGATAACTTTCTAGTATTGACTGGTTACCGGCATTAAGCTAAAGTAAGGTTTTAAAAAAGTTACAAGAGCTGGGAGCAGGCCTGTCATGATAAAATAGTGATTGGATGATAAACTGTCCCAGAACTGACTGCGATAAATAGGGCTGGGTAAAAAAATCGATTTAATAAATTTTGAATCGATTCCTTTACATTTTTGCAAAATTGATGTCTAGGGAATGAGATCGATTAGTTTTATAGTGACGCACGTCACGTTCACATTCAAATGAACAGGATAGATGCTCTCAAGCTTACCTCAAGCCAGACAGCAGGTTGACTGAAGACATTAACAGATAGGGCTGACCGGCAAACACCCTGTAGTTGTTATAGACAACACTGCAAATATGTTTTTTTCAGTGAAGATAATGCAGCTCATGAATGTCTGCTGTGTCCCCGCTGTGTCACATCCGTTTGCTCGAGTGAGGCTTCGCTTTTTCACATTCCACAAACAAGTTTGCACTTATGAGACAGTTTTGGTCTCATCATGTTTAAAGGCACACTATGCAACATTTTTCAGTTAATTAATGTGTTCCATAACGTTATGGATGATTAAATGATTAATTTCAGGTTGAACAAAGGTATTCTCGGCCGCCCTGGTGGTCTGTGGGGGAAATACTGCACTTGCAATTGCAGGAGCACCGACCTGCACCCACAGGCTCAGAAGTCTCGTGAGAGTCAGTCTTGCTTTACGGCGAGAACTGCTACACCCCCCAGTTAAAAGCATTCGTTGCTAGCACAGTGGCAATCTTTGTGCAGTTATGCTACGTTCACATCGGACGCAGCAAAAGCAGCAAAATCGCGTCTGCTGCTTCATTTTTGCTGCTTGTACCAGTTAGTTCTGACGCGCGGCTGAAGCAGCTTTGCTGCTCTGGCTGCGCCGTGGAAAAGTGTGTCTGACGCGCTTTGGGCGGAGCTTCACTATCCTTTCTCTGCCTTGCAGCTATATTTGCTGTGATCAGTGGGAATAAAGTAGTTTTAATATCTGTTTAAGTGAGAAAATACACCTGAAAACGTAATCAGTGCCGTCAGTTCATTCAGATTGTTATCCTGCCTTCAATATTTTTTCTGTCGGAGCCGCTCAGACCCCCACATACCAGCGGTGCGCCGACAGTAGGGATCCCTTCATCAGCAGCCTCTGGTCTGGTCGCTTCCTCGCGGTTCACCACGGCAGCTGGTAGGTGTTTTTCATCTTAATAATCCAAACTGCATATTCTGCCGGCAGATTTCTGCATTTTAAGTTAATTTAGGCGTCAATAAACTGTTTAAGAGGAGTGATCATCAGCGCTGTGTCTCTCTCCCTGCGTCAGATGCTTAAACGCGCCCGATGCGCTGCTTCAGCTGCTCAGACGTGCTGCGCCTGCTGCTCAAAACGCGCCGCGGGACCTTTTGCTGCGCCTTGACGTTACGTTGCATGTAAACTCGCTGCTTCTGTCGCGCCAACTGCGGTGTGAACGCAGCATTAGTCATTCGTTGCGTTCGCCTGTCTGCTAAGCTCAAAACAACCGCGCCTGGCTTGACGGAGAAACCAGGAGAACAGCTGTGCATATTTACGACAGTGCACTTTTACTTTCGCCCTCTGGGGGGAGCCTCGCTGGAAAATCAACACCGGTTGCATAGTGTACCTTTAAACTGTCTGATTTACAAGTTTGAAATTTTTGTGTTTAATGTGACAGGAAAAATTAAAAGACAAGTATTTTGAAACACAGTTAAACCACTTTCATTATTGTAAAAACAGATCGAATCGAAATTAATCGATTTAGAACTGTATGAATCAGAATCGAATCGATTCAGGACTTTGGCGAAAATATCCAGCCCTAGTGATAAAAGGTATATTGTTGTTCGGTACTGTCGCTGTCCCATTCCATTTTCAAACCAAATACATTTCTGTTTTTCCTAATCTTAACCAGCATGTCTCTAATTTGCTACTGATAAGTCACACGGCTTTCATGCTACAGTCGCTATGCTAAGAAAAAAAATTAAGTGGAGGGCTGAGTGATGACTGATGCATCAGAGTGAAACGTTTTGTCTTCCAGAGAGAAGGACTCACAAGGAAAACATGCAAGCAGGTAAAGGTAAACTATTGGGCTCATTTAAATTTGTCATGTGATTAATTGATTTGGCTTGGAAAATGGATGGATGAGCCAAGGGTTTAAAGTAGTTTAAAAGTGATGTCAGAGAAGATTCAGGAGGTTTCTCTGATCCTGAGAATTTACCTGAGAAATAGGATCATAGACATTGATACCGAATGAAAACATGAGGAAATATTGCAGTTTGTTGAATGTTGGAGCAAAAACTGAATTTTATCTACAGCAATAAATTTCATCCATAGTAGAGACCCCACTAATAATGGCGTCACCATGCGTATATTTAATCCGATGCTTTTTATGTGCAGCATAGAAATAAAGATAAAATACAGCTTGTGTGAGTAAATGTAAACTTATCCTTCCAACTGGCATCACGGATGAAAGTTAACCTAACATGGACCAGTTCTAATAGAATCATAAATGTTAAAAGTTAAACAACAAATGGAGCCAAGTGTGTTAATCGGTGACTAAAGCAGATTAGGAAAAAATAAACATAACTTTTTTTTTGTCAATATACTGCAAACATCAACCTAATATTTGCAGAGATGGTTACATTTCATTTAATCAGTTTATTTCATGTATTGAATGTTTTAAAGGATTCTTTTCAATACACTGCAAGCAGTTAATGCTTTCATTGGGCTGTCCTTTCTATTCCTATTACATCTATATAAAGTCAGACTACTGTAAGTTTCCTACCTGGTCCAGTGGGACCTTTTCCTTGCCCGTTAGCCATGCTGTCCACACTAATCTTCTGCATTGCCAGCAGAAGAGCTGGTTTAAGACTTGTGCACAATTCTGTTACAAACTCTCTTTGTCCAAGCAACAGAGCCTTCAGCACTTCCAGGACATGCTTTGAAACAGGGGCTTCTCCGCTGACAACCATGTCCTGCATTAGCAGAGAAAACAGCGATTGTACCATCATCTTTAAGCTCATAAAATTAGAAATATATTTAGAAAAAAACCTGATAGAATTCATGTTTTTGTTTGAGGGTTTTTTAGAAACAGATATCCTGGATTGTAGTATTAGTTTAAAAATCTCACCAAGAGGCTAAGCATGACAGCTGGATACTTCTTCAGAAGAGCCAGCAGCTCCAAGGTTCCTGCGTCTGGTTCTTTATCCTGTTGCTGCTCTGTTTCTGTCGTCTGCACATCTACCTGTGAGTAGTGAAATCAAACAACTTTATCATCAGTTTCAACCATAAATGTCAAATAAAAAACTTGCTAGAGATAGTTATCCATTACATCTATGTATTATACCGTGTTTCGTCTGGCCTCCATTTGTGATTTTTTGGTCAACCAGAGCTCTAAGACCGGGGCTCCAAAATGCTCTGCTAGTTCTGGATAGCGCCAGATGAAGTGGAGGAGTGCAGGGTGATGACTGTAGAGGGAGGAGAAGCTCTGGCAGGAGGAGAGTGCTTTGCTGATGTGGTTCAAACGAGCCTTGAGCAGAGAAGCAAAAGCAGTTTGATGAAACCAAAGAACTTTTTTAAAAAGATAAATGTGCATAGCAGAGAGGCTGCTTTTAAACTGAGCTGCGTCAGAACCTCTCAGATACAGTTGGACCTATAATTCAATATACAACACATTGATATAACATAATCTAATCTTGAAAAAAAATATTTACCTTTGAGCACATTCAGAAAAGCTGTTTAGTGCTCTGTGAGAAAAAAGCACCATGCATTTTGAGAATATATTCTTCTGCTTGGCTTTAGATAAATGATATCAAACAAGATTAATACTCTGGTGCTGTATCATCTAAAGCACAAGAAAGCCTTTGTGTATAAAGATGGATAAAAACCGTTGATCTTGGATTATGATTATTCCATGACTCCCACTTTAATGGTTTAACATTTAAATCCCAGAGAGCTCCAGCTTTTGCTGATCTTTGGTGCACAGAAAACCCATCAGTCTGGGTACCGTCACACTGATAAGGTCTTGAAACATTAAAGCAGCACCGGCTGCCATTAAAGCTTTCACGAAGAAAGCAGTGAGATTAAATATTTCCCTTAGAATCTGAGTGCTGAGTCAGTAAGGGAAAATAAAAGGGCCTTTCTAAAGCTATGGGTTAAAAATGCAATTATCAGGGTGGAATACTGGCAAAGTAGATAAAAACGCTGAAAATGCAATTACTTTAATTGCATGGAATGCAACTACTATTAATAAGGAACGTGTATTATGGAAATCTTTGCTTGTCCGGTTGATACTTAATATTCTAATGTCTGGATCAATTCAAATGGACACCTTAATCCTCCCCCTGCTTTAGAAAGTATCTTATTGAATTATCAGAAACCTTAAAGGTATAGTGGAGGATGGTCTTTTTATGGATGGATCATCAAAATAAGTGGTCCTCCTGATTGTCAATCATTCTGGTGATATGTTTACGTAAGATCGCCCATTGTGCTCGTCCCCATTTTCACTTACCAGTGGCTAGTCTGACATAGTGGAAACATTGCAAATCTTTTGTAAAGTAAGCTTGTATAAGTGTTGCTAACAGCAACTTTTAAACAGAGTGTGCATGAGAAGTAATGGGCTCATGCATGCTCTCGTACGTGTTTAACAGGCGTTCCCACTCGAGAGATGTGCATGTTTTTTTTTCTTAAAGTAGAGAGGGCAGGTCTTTTAAAAAATGTGCATAAAATCCTACATTATGCTGTTAACACTTCTGTAGTTCCTAGAAAAATAAATGCTGGCTCTTAATACATTCTGCTGCAGTCTGAGATCAGATTCATGTCTTTACCAGTTTTGTCCAGTTTTTGTCTAAGCCTTTGCAGGGTGAAATCATTTTTGATGCTTTGTAGCCTTGTAACTTAGGCTCAAGGACACAAATTAACAAAATATAAAAGAAAACAAATGAATCATACTAAGTCATCTAAGCTGAATGTTTATATAATAATGGAATTAAAATCATGAAGATTTTATTAAAAGTTGCCAATGGTGTAACATTTATTTATTTTAGGGTCACTTCCAGAATTTCTGAAATAATGTAAGGTTGTTTTGGCTGTTGGGCCAAGAACCTGCCCCAGTTTGTAGAGTAGAACATCAGATTTAGAGCCACGACAAACGATTCCTCTACCATATTTCAACAGCCCTCGTCGTACAATATGTACACCCATCATTTTTTTTTGTTGTAAGCTTAATTTTTGTTTACAGTGCATTTATGTATTTGCAGCACATTAGCCGCCTTCATACTTTTACATATGCTGTATATCCTGTCTGTAAATAAATAAAACATGTTGCTTTGTAAAAAGTCTTGAGCGGGTGTTTTTAAAAGCTATGTATTTAAAGTTATAAACAATGGTGCACTCTGCTCTCATGATGCAATTGTACACTATAGCTGTCATAGAGCTTTTGTTAGTTAATGTTTGGTGAACTGCTACCCTGTCCAGACTTGGACTCTTGTCTTGGGTCACGGCCAGCAAGTAGAGGGCAGAGCGGAGAACGTAGCGGGGAAGGACACAGTTGCCCTGCTCCTGCACTGACTGCAGCAACATCACCACACTGGAGAACACTGTCTGATCTGGGAGCAGCCTGGATTAAACAAACAAAAACAGAAATGGTATAAATTGCCAGCTTAAAAGTTCAGAAATATAACAACTATTTGGACTGCTTAGACAGACAACTGCCACATTTCACTCTGCTTCTCTACAGAGATCTCTTGAGGCAAAAAGAAACTAAATCTTTGTGTAAATTTAATGAGAAAAAAACTCAGAAGCCTGTACTACAAACAGAATTTATCTCCAGCCCCCAAAATAAAACATTAATCTCTTACTAGTAAATCTCAGTGAAAGCACACAAGGCAAGGAGAGCCTTTATTGCCCTACCCTTGAGGTAACCCTAACCCAAAGGTCAACAGAAAGATAAAATGTTAAAAGAATAAAAAATAACAGCATTTCTGAGGGCATAAAATATCAATATGAAAACTCTGTTAGTGGGCTGCAGCAGCCTGGCAGGAAAAGTAAGAGAAATGCCAAACTAGGACATGTAACGACAGAAGGTTATATTTGTCTACCTACATTAACGTCTAGCTTTACATGAACCATGCCACAAACATCTTTCCCTGATATACAGAAAGAGATGAAACAGCATCGTTAACTGTGTGATAGAAAAAGGTAAATAAATTACCTTTCCATGTCCTTTTTAATATATGGTTATGTTACAACCCCCCTTATTAAATGGCTTTAAGGGAATCTCAGGTGACAGAGAATAAAGTAGAGACTGAGTGTTAGAATAAAGCTTCTTGAAATTTTTAATCTAGAAGCATTCAGTAATCATGTCTGCTTCACTCTGATTGATACAAATCCATCTAATCTGTGAAGGCACCAGGGGGACATTAGAGAACATTAGCAAACAAACAGATTCATGAAGACCAAGGAACGCAGCAGATGTGGGGAAGTTTAAAATTTGCAGAACTCAGAGCTCTGTTCAGTGAGTACTTTCACTGGAAGAGAAGAGCTTTAATCAGAAGCAACCAGAGGCTCATGGGAACTTTAGGGAACTTTAGCAGAGATCCAATCTTCAGGTGGAAGAATCTCTTGACACCTCCCTACTAGTTTTCTCCAGCAGTTTGAGGCTATTGTTTTCTATGAAAATACAACTCCATAGCATGATGATACCACCACCATACTTCCTATAAGGATGGTTTTGGTCTGTTTGTGGGTGGTGCTTGGTTTTATCCAAACAATACACCTGACATTAATACCACAAAGTTCAGTCTTTGTTTCAGCAAACCACAGAACATTGTTCTTCACAGTCTAAGAGTCCTTAAGGTGCCCTTTGGTAAACTACAGACGGCCTGCCATGCTTCTTCTGTTAGTGAGTGGCTTTGATCTGACCAATGTGGCCACTCTACCCTAAAGGGCAGATTGATGGATTGCTGCAGCGATAGTTGTCCGTCTGTAAGTTTCTTCTCTCTTGAGCACTGGAGCTCAGACAGAGTGACTATGGGGTTCTAGGACATCGTTAAGTAAGGCTCCTGTGCCCTGATTGTTCAGGCTCTGGGCTGGCTAGCCGGCAAATAGCATAAATGAGCAAAGAAAAGCTGTTGGGCTGCAGCCAACTCTGGGACATCTATTTCCAGAGCTATATTGGCAAAACAGGACAAACACTAATAAGAAAGTTGCAGAAATGTTTCTGTACCCTTCATCGTATTGGTGCCTCAAGAAAAAAAAAAAAATCCTGTATAGGTGGTCTAGTCAGCTTCTTAGTTTTTATGTTTGGTGCTTGCAGTCTAACATGAACTGTTAATTTTGGGACTTTAGATAGAAAAGAGAACAAGTTGAATACTGTATACCAAAGCCGGGGGACTCCATTTAAGCCGTTAGAACATCTAATGGGTGATAAGAGAAAAGAGTATGCCCCTTAGCCCAACCTTAAAAGCTGTTAATACTTAACTAAATTAGATTTCTAGGTTTTAAATGTTTACCAAATGTTAACCATCTCAAATAACTTTTTAACATAGTCAGACTGGGGTAGTGTGTGTAGAATTTTAAGGAAAATTAATAATCTAATATCTTTGGGAATAAGACTGCAATGTGACTAAATGTGGAACGAGTGCAAGGCTGCACAGGGAATTTGTGAGTAATATTAATAATGTCACACACACACACACATCTTCAATGAAAAACTTTGCCAATTTTAAAAGCAATGACAGAGTTTCTGTGAGTTATAGTTCTGACAATAAGCCTCAGCAGAGATTAGTGTTGTTCCACTGGCAGAGAGCAGAATTAAGTTTGGTGATACTGTACTTTTCCAATTGATTCCCACAGCCCAGTTAACATAGTTCTCCCCACAGAAACTCAGCCAGTAAATTACTTTCCTGATCAAAGCCCTTTTAGTTGCAGTGCAGATACACTGCGACTAGCTATAGGGGAGCTGTCTAGGCTGAAAGGAACTACCATTGTTTCTCTTATTGAACTGCTAAGCACCGGGGACAATACAAGCAAAAAGATTTTTAATTCAGACAGAAATATTTCTGGGTTTGTGATGTTTAACAGAAACACTGCTATTTGTCCTGTAGATGGGATGCCTGCAGTATGTGATAAGCTGTGGATTACTTTGATACAGCAACTGCAAAGAGACTCACGGGGAAATTCTGCAAAATGTGGTAAGAATGTCTAAAAAACCGTCAACAGGGTCTCATTCTACTCCTTAGAGACCATTTCCAAGGGGAGCTGAATAACAAAAGCTTTCTGATGCAAGACGAAAGATTTTTCTATGGAATGAAACCTTACTCACCCCACCCTGACACCATGGAAAAGAAGGTATTGTTCAATAGACTCCAGAACAACGTGTACTAGCTTACAATTCTCTGAAAACTTAATATTTTTTTCTTTTATTTGGTACTAAGAAGTGATAGGGAAGAAAAACAGCTTCCTAAAAATCCAATTACATATCACCAAAGTGTTGCTTGCATGTCCAAAACAGGGATGTTTGTATTTTCTACGACTTTTACCTGTCTCCTTGCTTTATAGCCAGGTAAAGTATAATCAACAGACAATACTGAAGGGCCCTTGGTTCTTCATATTCACACAGCAGGGAGGGCCACTCAGACAGATGAGAATGCAGAGAGGAAAGGTTGGACTGCAGAAGATTTTCCACCTCCTCAAGATCTGGGGATGAAAAATGAAATACAACAAAAAGTTTGAACAACCCTGCTTATGATAAAGGGGGAGAAAATCCTGATTTATCATGTTAAACAGAATGCAGCAGAGGCCTATTTACTTCAGATTAGCATCTAAGACTGAACCCAAGCCACACCTGATGCTGTTAAACCCCTGGGTGGGAAATAAAACCCTGTGAGGTGGCGCTGATTTATCACTTTTCCAATATTCTCTGGTACAACCATACATTAAGCCAATATCTGTCTCTTTAGAGAACAATGCTGTCATGGATGTTTGTAATCAATATTTGTATTACAGGAATAATAATGTCAACAATCAGTGTGGTCCCTGGAGAGTAGATTGCCAGAGTTAAGCTTGCATCAAATACAAGGCGCTTTAATGAAGCTAATTTGGGGCTAGGAATTGCAAATTAGAGATTTTAATTAGATTCTTTAGAGCACTTTTAAACCAACTGTTTATGTAGGTGTTGTATGAGCCTCTAATATATGTCAAAACAGCTTTTTTTCAAGTGTCAGTGAAGGAAATCTAAGAATTTTTTTAAGACCATCAAGATTAAAACCCGACCTCAGTTGCTTTAAAAAATAATAATAAAAACACTTAAATGTAAACTATTAGGTAAGTAGGTTGTAAAATCTTCTGGCAGGCTGCTCCGTCGCCTGTTGTTAGGCTCTAAGCAACTACTGAAAAAAAAAGGTGGGGGAAAACTGACAAAACATGACTTAAAAGAAAACAACAAAAATAATGTTTTGCAAGTAAATCTCTATTAGAGTTTCATACGTTTAAACAAGGCAAAGTACTATAAATATTAACAGCTTTCAACCAGTACTTTACCAAGCCTTTACCACATCTGATTTATTTTCAGCATTCTATAGTAGGAGTCCATCATCATCATCTCACATCTTCAGCACATTTCAGTCTGAACTGAAGACATCTTTAGATGACTTCAAGGGTCTCCTATCAGTTTCAGCTACAAACTTGGCTAAATCAATTTAAATTATTAATTTACTTCTGAAAGTGCCCTTTTTTTGCGGATTTTGTCATCTGCTTTAAATCGCAGCAATAGCAGAAAATTAAATCTCTCTACATCTTTCGGTTTCTTGCCTGAGAATTTTGAAACATCAAACTTGGGGAAAAAAGCCCTCAAAGTTCAATGTGAAGAAACATAATCCCATAGCATAATGCTGCCACCACCACATATCTGTCACGGCTTAAGGTTTTGTACAAAAATATCTTTTGGGAAATATATCTGTGCTCAGAAAAAAAGCTTTAGTAGAGAAATATGGGAAAAATGTATAATGGAAAATGTAATAAAATTTGAATGTTTTTTTTAATATATATGATTTTCTGACAAAGTAAACCAGAACAAATCATGTTAATGCAACAAAAAGGTTCTAATCAGACATCCCTGCAGCTCCTTCTGTGTTGCTGTCAGTCTTTTAGCAACATCTCTGGCCAATTTCAGCCTTAGATTTTTAATTTGGAGAAAGTCTGGTACTTCCATGCAGATTAAATGTTTCTGGTGCGGTGAATCTGGAGTGGCTTTTAGAAGTTACTGCAATGCTGCATCTCTCCAACTCTATTAGTATTGCATCATATTGCAGTATTGCATGTTAATACTGTCATTCCAGTGACTATTTTCAGAGGAAAACTAGAGCAGCCAAATAGTGATTCAATACTAAACCAGCAAAACAGCTGAGACAGAAACCAATAGGGAAAAAACAGATACCAAGACTAGATTTAAAAAAAATAATAATAAATGAGACAAGAAACATTTGAAAAATTAGACCTTAAAATTGGGCTTCAACTAAAGGATGCGACTGATATAGTGTCAGCAAAATCAAAATAAAACCACTGGATTTTATGACTGGTTACTCAGCTTTTCTATACTTCATGGGGTCAGATGTGCACCCAGGAAGATTCAATCCTGAGTATTACTTATCAGGTTAATAATAATAATAATAATTGAATTTTATTGATCTCACACTGGAGAGATTTACCTCTGCATTTAACCCATCCCCTTGGGGAGCAGTTGGCTGCCATTGTGCGGCGCCCGGGGAGCAGTGTGGGGTTAAAGGTCTTGCTCAAAGACCAAGAGTGTAGGCTGTTGGGATCGAACCGGGTACTTGAAACCTTCTCAGAGCACAAGTGCACTGCTCTTACCAACACTCCCCAAGTTACACAGTGCATTTTGCACTCTTAAAGTAACACTTCAAGTGTTATATTTAACACCAATCTGAGTGCATCCGGTGCCACTCTGAATTTGTGTTAAATTAACTCTATACATAGCGTATATCTTACTCCAGTCGCTGTAATAACTTTAAGAGTCAAAGAACTTTGAAACTGCATATTTAACACTGCAGAATTTACTGTGTATGTAAACTACATCACCAGAAGGTTTCAGCTTTTTTAGTTTAAACATTTTCAGTGAAAAGTATTTGTTTTTTCTGTAGAGTTGTGCATAATATGTCATATTTGATGTGGAGAAATTATAATCTGGTTGGAATTTAAACATTTTAAGGGTTTGAGAAGATCATTGAGTGTTAATTGATGTAAAATAACTAATTACCCTACATAAGTGAATCTTTGTTTCAGTAAAACAATCTCTTCTCAATTTATTAACCTGGGTTTTAAGAAAGGCATAAATAAAATAACAAAACTTCAATGAAATGTATGAAATCAGTGTTTGTCCTGCTGTACTCAACAAAATGCAATTTATGGAAAGACGTGAGGAAGTTTAGCAGAAGAAATCCTCAATAACCTATAGATAATTCATGGTTCTGACCTATTTTGCATCGATCTCAAAAAAGCAACATAAACTGCAAGAGTGGTCTGATCTAGGTTTGGATGTAAAACAATCAATGTATGGAGAATGAAGAACTAGAATAAAATGTCACTGCTGAATGTACCCGCCCAAATAGATTCAGTTATTTGCTAACTTCTTATCCCTGCAGGGTTTCAAGGATAAGGAGTTGGTGGCTATCTTCAGGAGTCATGGGTTAGGAATACATCCGGGATAGACAGGTGGCCAGTCCATCATGGGACCACAAAGATATGTCAGGAGTAACAACTATGCCTGGGATATCATCCTAGATCAGGCAATAGCCCCACAAAGCAGGAGCCATAGAGGTCTGCACCTGTTGTTCTCCAACCTTAGGGCTTTCAAGATGATAAGCACCCATGAAGGGGCATTGAAGACAAGGAACTCTTTTTTGAGCTTTGATTCTGGGAAAGGTTCACCATAAAGTACAGGTGTTACGGTATAGAAAATAGCATGCTCAAAGTGGTCCTATGTATTTCTAGATGGCACAGTGTTGGCTCAGGGGTCTCTGGATTGCACAGAGCGGGCTCATTATGAGGCTCCGACTCTGGAAAGGGATCACTAAGAAGCTTTGACTGTACAAAAGATCTGCAGGTATAACCTACAGTGATGGTCAAACACAGCCTGTAGCTGTGGAGAAGGTCTGAAGTGGCTTACGGGTGCCCAGAAGATCAGACATGGCCTGCAGCTGTCCAGAAGGACAGACATACCTTGCACCTGCCAAAAAGGTCAGACATGGCAGCTGCACAGAAGGGTTTTATCCAGAAGCTGATATGTTTCCAAAAAGGCTGAGTGGCAGGAATAGGTAGAGTAACAAACTTCTGGGAACCAATAGAAGCAGAATGATAAGTTTTATTCAGGCAGCAAGTGGAGTACTGATGTAAGGCTGGAGTCAGACTGCTTAACAAGCTTTGACCTTTTTGAAGCAGAAGTGTCGCTGAGAAGTGTTTTCGAGAGCCCCCCAGTCATGTGACCGCTTCAAGTGAGGCCTCGTTATGTCAAAATTTGTGTCAACCTTAACAGTACATTTGAATAATCTGGGCATTTCTGTACTACAGTATTGAAGTATCTAAATGGCATCAGAATCGTGGCTCAAACCGTGGGTTTTCCCGTTTATTTAAAGACAGGGAAAGAAACATTATATTAAGTTCAAGTTTACAATTGATCCAGAATAGTTACAGCTACATGCACTTAGATCTAAAACAGACAGAAACACACACATTACAGACTCACACACCTATACCCACCAGAGTCCTCCACTGATTAAATGATAACAGATATTTATTCACACAGAACATCTAAACAGTTCCAGATTATAGCTTAGATTAGGTTAGTTTAAAACAAAAACAAATATATAAAAGATTAGGTTAGTTTAGTTGATACTTGGCTGGATAAAGTTGTCTTCTATTGTAATAAAATGTATGTGACAGAGGAAACCGAGGATATGGAGGGAGAGCCAGGGTCATAGATAAACTGCTGCATTATCTAATTAAAGATGAACTACATTAATATCATCTTCATCAGTAGGAACCACAGCAGGAACATGGAGAATCTATGGGAACTACTTGACAGTGGAGTTGGTTTGAATGATTTAAACTATCAGAAGTATTTAAAGTATACTTTCTTAATGTATTTATATAGTTTTAGGTGCAGCACACACAGATATATTTAATTAACATCCATTTTCCGATACGCTTATCACAACTCGGGTTGCTGGTTCCTATCTCCAGCTGTCAATGGGTGAAAGGCAGGGTACACCCTGGACAGGTCGACAGTCTATCGCAGGGCAACATAGAGGACCTAATTAACATTAAGTAAAAAGGGGAGAAAAAAGAAAATACAGATATTCAATAAAGGAACCGAGCAGGATTGGATCCCGCAGTCTCCCAGATGTGAGACATGCATGCTAACCCATAAAATCCGCAAAAACAATGTTTATATAGCTCAGAAACCAAAGCGGATTACAATTCGGAGGTATAGTGATAGGACCACACCGTTTATGCATTTAAAAGGGTTTTTATCATATTGTAAGGTTATGATTCAGACATTTTTTTTAATATTCATTCGAATAATTATCATCAATACCATCATTATAGAACAAATAATGTGGTCATTAGAATACCTGCTTAATTGTAGTTCTGATAGCATTCAAGGGGATGGGTTAAATGTA